CCCGGAGCGCGGCGGGCGCGGCCGTGCGGAGCCGGTTTCGGCAAGGCCGGGCGTTAGCCGTCTCCTCTCGCCTCTCCGCGGCGGAGCCGGTGAGATGCGAGCTCCCCCGCTGCTTTCTCCCGCCCGCTCTCGGTCACCCCACCGCACCGGCCGGGTTCTGTTCGGGTCTTTCCCTCCTCCCGCACGAACGGCTCCTGCGCAGCGGCGGCGGGTCCGTCTCGGGAGGCGTCCGGGGCTTGGTCCTGCCGAGTCAGTCGTTCGTAGGGCGCTTGTGACGTGGTGACGGACGGTTAATGCTGCCAGGTCGCTGGGATCAGCGCTCTTGATGGCGGTGGTGCGCCTGTTGGGGTGAGATGCTCTTGGAAGTTAACCTTCGAGCAATGTGAAAGGCAGCGTTTGGCTTGTAAAGGAAGATGGGCTTTTCCCCGCTTGTTTTGCCGCTGTCAGTTGACTGTCAGGCTTGGTGAAATGTAAGCCAGAGCCTTCCTTACTCTCACTTAGTAAAATAATTCTTCGCTGGCTCTTAGAGTAGACCCTCTGAATCAGTCTTTCGGACAGGGCTCATCTTCACTGCGGTTAGCCTGGGCTCTACCGTGTGGGCTTTCGCTCCGACTCTGGCTGTCTTAGACACAGACTTTCTGGCCCCATCTTAAAGTAAAAGATCATCTTGTACTGCTTGTACGCTGTCACAAGGTTTATTGTGGTCGCAGACCAATATTAGAAGGAATTCTGGGATCGAACCCCAGGACTTCCCGTTGTCTGTCTGTCTGTCTAGCATGAACTTCTCAGCTACTTCTGGGGAGGGAATCGGGGAGCCGCTGTATTAGCCCACTTTTCTTAGCGCTGAAAAACCTGCATGCATTGGGTAAGTCAGCAGCAAGCGCTGGAGCGCACAGGTTTTGCGAATATAACTTGAGTAAGTCCGCCCTGGAGTATTTGAGGCACGCACGGTGCCTCAGCTGCCGGAGTTGTATTTTGTGGTTATTCTGCTATCGCTGCTCATATGTGGGTATGGTATTAGCACGAAGATGGTTTATTCTTGCTTTCCTGATGATAGCTTATGAAATAACTATGCCACTATCGGTTACACTAGTACAGACGCAGCTGTATCGAGCCATCTTAGGCAGTTAAAAATTACTCTTAACGGGAATGCTGAATCACATGGATATTCTCATGTATAGCTTTGAAATAAGATGGGGAAAACGTTAGCTGCTTTATATGCAATATAGTTGAAAAATAACATGCTTACAGCAGTGACGTAGGGAGAGTGGGTTATACAGAAAGCTTTTAACTGTCCTCCTTGTGTTCAATAAATAATGTTTAATGCCAGTCAATATCGTACTCTTGTTTTTGACTATGCCTGTCTTGTCCGTGGTGATGGAAAAATATTTTAGCTTTTCTTTCCTGAATCTACCTTTTACTTAGAACTAATGTTACCTTGCTCTTTTTCTGCTTCCCGCTTGTCAGGATTTGGTGGGCTTGAGACTACAAACTCCACTGCCAGTGGGTTTAATTTTGGGGGTTTCGGATTAACTGCTAATCCTGCAGTGAATTTTAATATTGGGAATTTCGGTGTTTCTACTACCTCAACTCCACCATTCAATTTTGGTAACAGTCTGGCAAGTGCAGGTAGATAATGCATAAATACTTATTCTGTAATAAATGTTAACAGCAGGGGTCCAAGAATTACATTCCGAACTGAGAATCTGTATTTAGTACTAATCTTAGTATCCAGTGAAGGCTGGAGATAAAAGCTCTGAAAGTGGAACGGGTTTGAGAGCCGTAGGCTTATAGGGGTTTTTGCCTATTAAATTCTCAAGAAATAGCTGTTGAGGAAAAATAACCATGTACCAAATACTCAGTCTCTGAAAAGGAAATGAATTGTGGTAACCTACCAGTCTGACCCGGTCTAAAATTGAGCCTCGATTACCTAGCAAAATTCTCCGTTCAGATCCAGGCAATCACGAACAGTTGCAGAGCTGGTCCCTAACGTCACGTTTCCTGACATGAGATTCTTGGACTACTGCAGTCATGTTTTTCATCTTCCCCTGTGTCTCCTCATTGGCCTTCCGTTGGCTGTCATGAATGCACTACACCTCGATAGTTTCTGTGGAGAAACAAATTTTATACGATCAGCACAAAATGAACAGCCCTCGCTGTGATCTCTGTTTCCTAAAGACCGTTCTGCACCCTGGCATAGCACGCGTCCCAGGCTCTCGTTAAGAGATTCTCTGTGCTTCTGGGAGGGTCTTGTGCGTGATGTGTGCGCTGGGTGTTGATTAAGAAAACGGTTCACGGCCCCATGGAGATCCATCAGTTCTGACTCATCAGCTGATACAATTGCAAGTTAAATCTCTTCCATTTCATCTAAAAATGCTTAACTGTATGGATTTCTAATGCTTTTAACTCGTGTAGAATTAGCCCGTGGGGTCTCGTTGCCGCTGCTCGTATAGGAATTACATTCATTCCACAGTGTCATTGCTCCCTGTGTTAGCGTACTCTTACCTGTTTTGTGCACTCAAGGGGTCTGATTTTGTTTTTATTTGGTATGAACACTATTGGACTGTACTTCTTTAGCTGAATTTGAACTACTCCAGAAGAGAACTTGCATACTTAATTTTGTTTAGCAGTTTGCGCTCTTGGATCCTTTTTCAAGAAAGGAGGACTAAATTTGCTGTGAGTACAAAACCAGCTAAAAATGGTGTCATCTGATGGTACTCCCACTAGGGTTTCTCACTAGCTGGTAGGACTGAAACTTGAACATTACAAGGAACAACTTATTATATCCACTCGCATTAAGATGTTTGCTGAATGAAAATAAAATGTGATTGCATGTCAACTTTGGTTTAAGCTTTTTATTTTGTATGTATACAAGAGGACAGTAAGTGTAGTAGGTCTAAAAAGACTTTTTTTTTTTTTTTTTTTTGCTATTGACCTGTGAGTGGCAGCATCTTTTTGCAAATACTTCGTAGCAGACTGTCTTTCTTCATTTGAATACATGTAAAAACAGCTTGAAACGGGGAAACTTTGCTCTCCAGGGCTAGTCAGATGTCCACAGGCTGCACCTCGGGCCGATGGCGCTTTTGCACCACCGTAGCAAAGAGGTGGTGTGGTGGCATCCAGCACTTGTGCAGTCTCATGCGCTGGGAGGCTGTCTGGGCCAGTAGCACCGGTCTCGGCACAGCCACCCTGTATCGGGGCACATCTTCTGAGGGGGCAAATGGGAAGATGGGGTTCTTGGGGCTTTCACTGGCACAGTGGAGCTCAGGCCCTCCCTTAGGTCTCCTCCTGCTAGCCAGTGACTGGTTTTCCTGCAGATCTGTGGAAGGCTGATGGCTTTTGCATCCGTCTTCCTCTGATAGTGGTTGAACCTCAAAATGAGATTTAATGGGGATGATGACAGGGAAACTAGGCTTAAAAAAAAAAAAAAAGACCTTGTAGAATTTTACCTGTGTGTAGAAAGAAATCGTTGCTGTGACAGCATTCCCATGTCAGCACAGCAATTGTGTGCACCCTAGCCTCAAGCTTTACTTGATTTGTTTCTATTTTTGCTCTGAAGAGGTTAGGAATGTTTAAAAAGCTTACAAAACATCAGATGGTTTATTAAACACTTAGCAACGATATTGACTAGAAGTATTCCTGAGAATGAATCTAAGAAATACTATTACTAGTTGTGTCTGTCATGAAGGAAAGCACATCCTGCTGGTAAAGGAGCAGGATGTTAGTTAACTGCTGCTTTTTTATTTGCTTTCTTGACACACCATAGACGTATTGGCTTTCTGGTTCATGTTTTCTCCCCCATTTCCTCAGACAATGAACTCGATACCCATGATCAATGTGAACTACATGCTTGTAACATAATACATCCATCTGTCAACATCTCTTCTCATAACACCCCTTGAAGCGTGCGGTTTATCGTCATGTTATGCACGGCTGCCACTCACAATGTGCTGTCTGCCTTACTTGCAAACTTTGTTTGTTAGGTGCGTTTGGAGGATTTGGGACAACTACCACCACTGCGGGACCAGCATTTAGTTTCTCTGCTCCCAGCAATACAGGCACCAGCGGTAAGAGAGCACAAATCTGAAAGTATTTGCTTTAGAATGAACAGTAGGGCATCAGCCCTTCACAATAACGTTTTGCATTTCACAGGTACTATTCTCTTGTTTTTCTCAATAGCGTTTTGCTTATTTCCCCAGGACTCTTTGGTGGTACCCAGAACAAAGGCTTTGGATTTGGTACTAGTTTTGGCACAGGAACTGGAACTGGCTTGGGTAGTGGGTTGGGAACTGGGCTAGGCTTCGGAGGCTTCGGTACGCAGCAGCAACAGACCAGTAAGTATGGCCTTCTCTTGATTTACCCCTTCCTTAGCAACGAAAGCGTAAGACTGCAACAGGCGCGCAAGTAGTAGGACAGAAGTATATTATAAAAGGAGGCTGTTACACTTATCTCCTGATTGATGGAGACTTCTCAGAAATTTGGCTTTTGAAATGCCTACGGTTGCAGCCCTTGCCTTTTTCTTAAACTAGAGCTCAAGCAAGTTTCTGAGCTTCACCCTTGAGTTCCCAACAACAATATTCACCCCTTTGGTTTGGCAATGGTAGAAACAGTAGTTACAGAATTGATGTTGGCAGTCATGGCATTACTAGAAAGGGGAGAAGAAGAGTCTTGAGTTTAGTTTAAATGCGAGTTGGATAATGACCAGCTGCAGGCTCTGAGTCCACTGAATTTATAATAACAAATCTACCCTTCAGATTTAGATATCGAAGGTGCCAGATGATGTCATGGGTGAATATAGACGTCTCATTTAAAGAAAAAAGAATAAATCTTTTCTTCTAACTCTGCATCCAGGAACTTCTGTTGCTGATGAAGATTGGGTGTAAAAAGACGCTTTTAAAAAACATTATCTGATAGTGAGTTATTTATTCTGTGCTTTATTTTGCTTCTCAAAATGTGAAAAGACGTGATACCAATGATGCGCAGATGGTATGTGTTAGCAAGCAAGTCTGTCTTGGTTGGTAAAAGGAGTTCATTTGTTTTTCTTCATCCAACACAGCATTAGGAAGCGGCTTGTTCAGCCAGCCTGCTCAGACACCTGCCCAGTCGAACCAGCTCATCAATACTACCAGTGCCCTCTCGGCTCCGACACTCTTAGGAGATGAGAGAGATGCTATTTTGGCAAAATGGAACCAGCTTCAGGCCTTCTGGGGAACAGGCAAAGGTTACTTCAACAATAACATCGCTCCAGTGGAGTTCACGCAGGAAAACCCCTTTTGCAGGTTTAAGGTATGGAATTGTTCAACTGCCCGCAAACAGTTCTGAAGCAGTTACTCTGCTTGCCCGGAGTCTGGGTGTCTCGTGAGCGTTAAATCAGATTTTGTTACTGTTATGAGTTTTCTGAAACAGTATTTTTCCAGGTAATGTACACAACTCTGATGCATGCTAATTAAAAGGTTTGAAGATTTATAGATGCTGGAAATCTGGGTGTTGTTGAGGTACTAGATAATGAGTGCGTATGTGGATGATGAAACTAACCTTTTTCTATGATAGCGTTCAGATTGGTGCATGTGTGGTTGGAGCAGATCTCTGGAAATTAATTTTAATGTGTATTTGTTTAGGTTACAATATTAGAGAAACTATTTAAAATAACCTTCACATCTGAAAGAAACTTAGCATCTGGAATAAGAACTTCACGGTCTTTCTTCATCGCTTTGCCTACATTAGAAAACCCCTCTGTGAACCTGGCCCATGCATACCGTTTTAAATACAGCAGCCTTCAGCTTTCTTCTGCCTTTATCCTTGCCAGTGCTAAAGCTGACTCCATTCCTTGTACTAGATCATCACCAGTTCCAGATCTTGCTTCTCATGTCAACAAGGAATATGTAGCTCTTCATCCTCCGTAAATCTTGTGCCTGCTGACTTTCTTGCTAAGCTTCAGACTTGGAAGTAGATTTGGGTCAGGCATGGTGATACCCTCCTTTGCCAAGCTGATTCTTTGAAGTGCAAATTTTCTAACCTGAATGTAGGTTAATACCTAATTATGACTAGTTTTGATTATGCACATCATGACGCTTTTATAAAATCTTTGCAGCAGCCGAGTGCCTGCATAACCAATGTTTGGCTTCTGTTGCATTACCTTTTTAGGTGTTACCTTGAATATTTTGTTGATAATGCATCTGAAAGCTTACTTTCTTGTAAGTTGTTGCCTGAAGTGGCTTTAGAGTTTTCTGGGCTTTGAAAAATTGCCAAGTATAACTTGTGTGATACAAAATTGGTTATTTTAGAGCTTCATTTACCAGAAGGAGAAGTTTTCTTTTCAAGTTAGACAGTGCCACGTACGAGGTTTACTTTTGTCCCTATGACTTGAGTATTACTAATGCCATTATGGATTCACATACCTTAAGTGAAATAGTGAAAAGTTCGATGTATGCTAGCAATGGCAGATGCCTAAGGAAAATAGTGGAGAAGTTGGTAGCAAAGGTATCGGAGCAAAGCGTCATAAGCTACTTTGGTTTATTGCCTCTGTAAGCATCAGGCATCTGATAAGAATGAAGCATTACCCGAAGGGTTTCACAGGTGTTCAGGGAATCCACTTGTACACAATTCCAGCTCTAGAACAAATGAGAAGCATGCAGCTCTTAACCAAGAAAAGTGTGCTTCAGAGGTATGTGATACAGGCCGTCATTTGAAGGACCACAACGGAGTAAAAAATCCGTTATAGTTTGAAAATACTTAATTGCATACAGAAATTGTGAAAGATTTATTTATTTTAAACAGAAATACCAGAGGAGTCATGTGCCTGTGGTCTTAGTACTACTTTGCACATAATGAGATTTAGTCGTCTGTGTACTGGCAAGTCTTTCCCCACAGTGTGGGCCTCTTTCACAACTATGAAAGTGAAAGGGGTGTGCTTAAAACCAAATTCTTCCTTAGCTGTCACCGTTGTGCTCCATGACAGGACGGCCCAACCGAAGAAGGCTGATTCCACGAGGCTTACCATCGCAGGGAATTACCCTCTGCTGACAAAGACCAGGCTCTTGGGCACATCCCCAACTCATTTCTCTCTTCAGCTGAACTTGCACAAGGGGAAGGGAGCAAGTCACCCACCCACATGCAGTGTCAGGGCCTTAAAAAGCACCCGCTGTCCAACATGTCACCGGTGATATGTTGGTGTGACAGTTCATAGGCAAGATGAGATGAGAACTGCCGCTCTGCTTTTGCTTATAACGAGTTAACAGTTTAGGTCTTCCTTACAAGTCATGTGGAGTTTATGCTGGAGCTGACAGGGTTGTTTTTGAAACAGGGAAAGCACGCTGTTACTTAGCACAGATGGCAACACGTGTTCCTGTATTAGATTATGATGTTGAATTAAACACCTAACCTTACTACAGCTTTATCGCAGCAACAATAAAGATAATATTAAACTTCATAAGCAATTGCACAAAGAACCCATGACACTTGCTAACACAAGGAAAATTGGCTGTCCCAAATTCTTGTGTGAGAACCTTACTTGCTGCATGTCTCAGCTAGTAGAAATATTCTGCGTCCATATTTTGACTTGTACTGCCACGCAAACTGTTCGGATCTACAGTAGGAAAACGCTAAGAAATCCATAAAGGTTTATGGTTGGCTTATCTTTCGATTGGGTTATGTCAGTAACTGTTTTTCATTCAGACATCTGGACATGTAATGTTGTAAAACTCTTCTGGAACTCTAGTAATTTTTCTGTATTCAAGTCTGGTCCTCTGGTTCCTTTTGCAACTTAGATAAAGTGTAAATTTGTAAAATGTTCCTGATTGATATCAGCTCTGAAGTAGCATAAATACCCTGCTGAGCTGGCATCTCCCAATCCATGGCGCTTTTTTTTTTTTTTTTTTTTTTTTTTTTTTATTAGGGTG